TAAATTCCGAAAAAATTGGACACATTTGCCTTAACACTACAAAGTGTGTGAATTTTACAAACAGATAAGGACTCTTCCATTTGTAAAGGCCAACCCTTTTGCTTTCTATCACATCGGATACTATCCACTACGGTTGTATTATGGGCTAATAATGTGCCTGTCGTTACTAACATTTGACCTGGAAAAAGCGGCTTCAGCTAAATGCTTTTTAATTACTTCTGTCCATTTCAGATCGTCGCTGGCTGGTTCAGAATGAACTTACAGTTACAAATCCGAAGAAAAATTAGGTTTTATTTTCCCCTTCTCATTAGTAGCCCTTTTAAGGTAAGCTTTTCTTCTTTAATATATAAGCCTTAATGACAGGATATATTTCACTCACATTATGGCTAGGTGGCCGACTTTATGCAACTATATTAAATTTAATTTTGAGAAATTCAGTGGCCGAATGTTTTACCATGTTTCCTCACTTGTTTTATTTTACTATTTCTCTAGTAAAATGTATTTTGTTTTTTTACACCTTTCCTTTATTTATTGAGCTTTTGAGGAAAGGTGATTGAATCAGAACCACACAATTTATGTTACAGATTTTTCTACCCAAGTAGAAACTGAAGTACAATGTGTTATGATGTACCCCAATTTTTGCTTCACATTACAATTCACTACGCCCTAGTTAGTGGTGAACTGAGATGGGCGAGTCTGCTGTGTTTTCCCTAGAAGAGGTCAAGAAACATAATTCTGAAAATGATTGTTGGATTGTCATTCATGATAAAGTGTATGATGTCTCAAAATTTCTGGATCAAGTATGTTTCCATTTCGGTACAATGCAGTATACTGATATCAATCAATGTATGATGCCGTGAACTAGTTCAGAATCACTACTTTTGTTGCCTATTTTTGTACTAGCATCCTGGTGGTGATTTTGTAATTCTTGAAAGTGGGGGCGGGTACGCTACGGAAGCTTTTGAGGATGTCGGCCATTCTGAAGCAGCTCGAAGACTTTTGAAAGAGTACTGTATTGGAGTTATTGATAGCGTATGATTCTGTATTTCATCAATGCAGGATTTCTAGAAGGATAAAGAATCTTCTCTTAAATTTTCCTCAAACTATTCTCGGGACAAAAAAGCAAGCTTTGCGTAAGTCTGCCATTATCCTATAAATGAAGTCGATTTATTTGGGTGCATGATTGCTTCATGTTTGGTCGTGCGGTTTTCATGAACACCACACCAATCATCTGTGATTAGTAAGCTAATCATGGGGGAGTAACCTCCAATGAACACATCGTTCTCTTTTATAGTTACAATTGGATCAATTTCGCAATGCCAGTTTCTGTGTTATTAGCTGGCACATGCGCCGCCATGCGTTTCCTTCGGTTTCGATGAAACCACCGCTGTTTTCTTCTGTGTACTCATCATGTTCGAATACAAAATAGTTAATCTGGTGAATTGTATGTTCGGCTGCCCTTGGGCTCATTGTGCCAAATTAAACCTTCGGATTATTGAAACTCAGCACAATATTAGTTGAAAAGTGTTTCTTTGCTTTGTGCGACGATTCCGTCAATCTCTGTGCCCAGTCTCGTACACGTTTCTGCCGCATTTTGGCCTGTTAAGCCCAATTTTAAAACTTGGTTGGCTCTGATTGGCTCGAATTTTTCCCAACATTTCTTCGGGTAAATTGCTGCTCATCCGGATTCGCTGTTTCTTATGGTATTCTCTCTGATAACGTCTTGTTTAATTCCTTGTGTGAAGTGCTGCGTTGTAGCTTTCTCTTCAGGAATACCGATTCAAACCCGTTTGCTAGGTTCTTTGTACCTGCGCTTCATCCTAACCCTAGTTTCGTTAACATTCCCATTGTGGTGATGGGAGTTCATATATGTTCTTATGATTTTACCAGGAAGAAATGCTAGACTTTTCTGCTCTAATGTATATGTTTTCACTTAGGCTGTTTTCAGTATCACCCCGGACTTTGTGTAAACTGATTTTTCTCTTTTCAGTGGCTGGACTGGTGCTCTCCTTCCCGTTCTCATAGCAAGTGTGGCAGTGGCAGCTTATTTCTTTGCTAAGTAGATACATTTCCCTTTACCACTTACCACCTCAATGATTTGAAAGCGTAGTTTTGTATTCCCTTGCTCGTGTCTTTTCTAAGTTCTTTGTAAAACAAATACAATGTATTCGGTGGTCTTTCTATTTTGTTTGCGACTGAAAGGATGCTTGCCTTGGTGTTAGATTGCAAAGGACTAATAATTATTTGGAATCATACCACAAAACTGCCAGCTGTCAAGTCTGCTCTACTAAACACTTTTTTTTACACTTGCTTTGCTGGTCTTTCTTTTGCAGTGTGAATCTCCAACGCACCTCTGCCTCTGAATTCACCTTACCAAATTAAGCACAATTTTTAGCAGATGTTTGAAATTTCCTTTTTAAGATACCTCTCTCACATTAACGTTACTTGGATCAGTTGAAATTATTGCACGATCATGCGTCGTGTCATTGATGTGGTTTGCAAAGAGCATCTATTGTACCTGCATGTGCCTGATAACTCAAGATTCATCAAGGTGTCCTTGCTACCGTTCTCCGTATCTGCGCAAACCTTTATCCTTTTAGTTGTTTTAATTCACAATAGTAATATAATGTTCTAAACAACCCAGGTAAATGCTGATGGCTTTCAGTAACACACCACCAACCTGTTTATTCCGCCTTAGGAATGCGCCTCACCTTCCAACTCTACCGTCGAATCCGGCATGACTTTCTGCCGGTGTACATAAAGAAGCAGTGGAAGGAACAGGGTTCTATCATGACCGCGCGGCGCCTCCGCGTGCCTCGACAGGCTCTCGCCGATCCGCGGATCGCAGAAGTGGCGGCGCAGGCGGAGGACACCTTCGTCTCTACCCGCTACCGCGATGCCCTTGCACGTGAAATCGAAATGGGCGCGACACCGGAGGAGAGAGCCGTCTGGGAGCGCCAGCTTGCTCAGCGATTAGCTCAGTTCGGTGGGAGGACCGAGACGGCATCCAATTTACCTCCTTGCCTCATCTTTGAACCTTCTCGCCTCTTTTGCAGGGACATTGCGCAGGTCGCCATGCTCACAAATGTAAGTCTCTTTTTCTTGTCTTCGATGTTTGTAGTTCTTTTTTTGTTCATCCCCTTTATCTGATTGTGTGTTTAATGATGTTCTCATTGGTTATTATCGTTGTCATGGGAACTGTTGATTCTTCAAAGTAGATTGAATCAGCTTGCAACTTGAGTTCCCAAAGTTTGACTAAGTTTTTCGAATTTTTTGTCAGGTATCAGTATCATCTTGGTCAGCTGCTATTCATCGCCTAAGAGATTGTTGATTGTCCTTCCAGAAAGTACATAAGCGTTGAGGTTCGTTATGGAGTCCGCGAAAATCCGACCTTGGCCCCATGTTGTCATTTGGCATCCTCGCAGCCTTTGGACTCTGTGCTTACTTTGGACCTTTTGATCAGCACTTGAAATCGTTGAATCGATTGATTAGCATGGTTCTGAAATGATCATTTGTTCGCTATTTGCGAAAAGCGTGGCATTTGATGAACTGTGACTCCACCAACTCTTCAATATAAATGGCAATTATTAAAATTTTTAATGGTCTATCGTTGGGCTCGATTATTATTACGCATCAGGATTCGCTTTCTATGCTGTTTGTTAAACTCATTCTGAGATTTCGTCACTTTGTTTTAAGAAATGGGTTTCCTGTAATTCATCCCAGAAAAGGGTAGTTTGGAATCCCATTTAAGCGTACTTTACCTTGACCCCTTTCTATATGGCGCCATCTTATTATGAGAGCCTAATCTTTGTCGGTTCCGAAGGGCTTTTTCTGTGTACAAGCCTCCTGAAGCAAATGCAACTGCTATACCGTGATAGAATGTAGTATTACCAATACCGGGCTATAATGATTGCATGATGCATAGTTGTAGAGAAAGGAGCCTGTGGTGGAGCTTTTTAGCACACGATGTAAGTAAGCTTTGCAAGGACTTTGCGAGTTTCCTTCATACATTTGATACATTACGCCGAGGCTACCGAGTTCCTTGATATTCGCTCTTAGGCTAAGCTATTAACCTTGGTTGGACCCCAATTACAACAGATTTCATCGTACTCTTATTATCGGTTCTTAAAATGTCAATGAGTTGGAGTGTATGCGTGTTACATAGCCGCCAGATTATCGTCTACGGCTAGTGCAATGTCATAGCTAAAACTATTCGTAGTAAGTTATGCCTTATCTGTTCCCATCCAGCATGCAGACAATTAAGTAGACACTGTTCATCAATTTAATTTTACTTAGGACTGATCCATCCTGTTACGTAGACCGTCGTTCATGAGGGCGCTCCTTCGGCGGTGCAGTCAATCTATGAGGAGGTAGCGTCATCGGCGGCGGCCAATATGCAGTCACTGGTTTCGGCGGTAGAGCGGAGCGTGTTGCACGCTCATGTATGGCACACGGACGAGGACAAGTTGCCCAAGCGCTACAATCCTGAGCTACTCATTTGGAAATTCAAAACCGAGTTTGGCATCCATCCCACCAACGTGGCTCGCTACCTCCTTTGCAATCTCTTTCGCGTCTGCCAAAACCAGGTTCGCTTTTTAGTTTCTAGCATTGTCTAGTAGTCATTTATTATGGCAAACCCATGGCTATGCGTTTACATTATTTTTACTGCCCTCAGGAGTTGAGATGTAGTGGTGTTTTCGTCTATCTTCCGAACTGCATGATCTCTTACTAATTAAAATTTTTAGCCATCGGTTGTTATATCATCTTGCCTTTGATGGGGATAGGGAAAGAGCATTCTCTGCTCATTTCGCTAACGTTTCAAACGGTATTACACGGTACTGAGCCTTTGGAGATTAAACAAAATCGTGATTTCAGGCGCGTGGATCTTCTCGAAGTTGATATTGCTTCTGTTTAATTATGCGGGTTCCACTTTTAATCTTATGGAGCAATAAGGGCAAGTTCTACTACTCCTCATTTTAGCATATATTTAAAATGTCGCTTTCAAGAAACGCTGGTGCTGATTGGAACAAAATAAAGGTGTGCTTTACTAATGTGGAGTTCTTGATTTTGTTACAAGCGTAATACCAATTTCATTTCTGATGTGATTATTGCTAAATCAGTTATAAAGGCTTGTAGTCTAGACCCCCATCCAGTAATAAATTTAGAACCTTCACATCGACGTAGAATTTGCCTCTGCAACATTTTAAGTAGTAAACGCGGACCTGGTGGAGGCAGCAAGCTTCGGGCTCTCAGTTATCCTTTTTCCCACCTTAGTCTTTGGAGATGCATTTGACCCCGTCGAGCGACTCGCGGACAGGTCTGCCGCCGCGTTGGTTGTTACGTGACCGTGTCTTGGAGACGTCGTTTTTATGGGGAGAAGAGCAGCAGCGTCGGGTGCAGTTCAGTCAGCGCAACGACCTTGTCCTTCTCTCGCCCACCCCAACACCCCTTTTCGAACAGCCTGCTGCGTCCCTCAGTGCCACCGAAGCACAGATTGTTGAGGCCTCCAAGGCACGCATGCACCTTATCTCGCCGCTAATCGACCTCACCTCTACGACGCAATACAGGCAGGACAGCTCCGATGGTATTCGTGTACGTCCGCCTCCTTTCATCAGCCCTCACAATGCCAGCTATCTTTGCGTCCAAAATTTTTAACTTTTTACTTAAAGACTACCAAATACCTCTATCCCCACCTCATCACAGTGAACATTGCTCTGCCCAACACCTGGTCGGACTTCACGGCTCCCGAAAAGGAACGCATCACAGTACCTCAGCGCCAGGCTATAGGGCTGATGCATTGCTACGCCTCATGTATTGCTACCGCCAAGCGTCTCTATGGCAACGAGTGCGGCCAAGCCCCACTTCCTGAGCCTATAGCAGTGGAGGCGGTGTGTACTGATGGAGTCTTCTTCGATTTTATTGCCTTCCAGTTGAATACCCTGGCGACGCCCGACTGGAGCAAGAATCCCACACCTCAGGGGCCTATGAATGTGGCCTGGGTAGACGGCAATCATGAGATGGTGCGGAAGCGTTTTCCCAAGCGCAGCATGCTGCGCAACACCAGGTACACTGATCTAGATATGAAGGTCTTCTACCGCCTTTTTGCGTGCTACCTTTACGGGACGCATGCAAATAAAGGTGAGAAATCAGAAGCGATTGGTGTTAATAGTGGTGGTGTATTGTAAAATAAAGTATTTTCCTATCTACGAGAGTCCTGGTCTTTTCTTGTCCCCATCAGGATCGGCCTCGAGATGCGGATTTTCTAGAATAAAAGAAACTAAAAGTAGTTGTGAAGCCTTAAAATTAGTCTACGAGCGAGTCCGTTTTAGGTAGTTTTAAAACGGGATTTGTAAGCTGCCGTCGGGGTCTACATTGTTTATAGCTGTTTTTTAGTGAATAATGCAGGATGCAATTCTGAGGCACCAAGACATTTCGTCGACGGAATGCATAATGCTTGGTTCTAGTTAGAATATCTCAAGGAGAAGGGCGTAAGTGAGTACGACAAGGAGGAACGTACATATCACGGTAGATGTAGGCCATGGCAAGGGCGAACATGAATAACCCACCAAGCAGGAGGACATCGTACTTGAGGAATTCCTGCGACGCATAGGAGTGAGAAAAAGTAGTGGGGATTGCTCTCACGTGATGTCCCCGTTCAAGTTCATATTCACCTTGTCCTCTCGTCCAGTCAATCAATCTAGCGTTCCAACGCCGACGCATTTCTTCCTCATAGGCCAAAATCAACTTGGGATCAAGGTACTCGGGCTTTGGGTATTCCATCTTATAGCCTGACTCGATATCGCTAAAGGGGTTGATTTTGCGTTGAAAATCATATTCCCTTCGACTGTGTTCTTTACCAAGGATGGCAAATGCTTCATTTATTTCAACAAACTTCGAACGTAAATCAGGGTTGTCGCCGGCGACATCGGGATGGTACTAAGAGTTTCGACCAAACTAGATTAGAAATTACCTTTTTAGAAAGCAGTATGTATGCCTCCTTAATTTCTTGAGAGGTAGCACTGGATTTGACACCAAGAACGTTATAATAATTTTTTGGCGAACTGATAGAACTATCGAAACTACTTAAAACAAAATCAGCTAAGGAAAGGTAGAACTACCGCTTAAATTGGCTATTCATCAAAAATGTCCACGATGTCGTCCAAAAGGGCCGACAAATAGATGAGATTTTGATCATTTTGGTCGACACACTAAATATCTCTAGCAAAAGCTACAGCCACGGCTAGTCCAGCTTCCAATAAATCGCTCCACAGCGAAAGGTCAGCACAAGTAATGACAATTTCACTATACAAAGCAGTTGATGCCACCCTGAAAATTTGCTCCTAGTAGGCTCACTTGCCAGATAAATGTGCATAATTTTAAACCAAATCGAGCAAGTGCATAATACGGCAAAAGCACGGAATATATGAGTACAAATTATGAATTCTTCGACAGGAAGGGTAATAACTATTACTTTAACACAAAATTGGATTATTTTTGAAGGATAAATGATATGGATGACTTTTGAACAGCCGTTTTGATGTAAGACATTATAGTGACAATGAGTCTGAAAAACGCATGCTGCGGCTACTTGCAGATCTCCTTCAAGGCAAAAATAAAAATTGGATGATAAGCAATAAACAATTTTGCCTAATAGGTGTAATTGTGCATTTCCCGCATTATGTAATTTACCAGTGCTAAAATATTAACATAAGACTTGCTTGCATAGTGCATTTTAAGCCCCTGGGTCTGTTTGAAAATAAAATTGGCTTGAAGTACTTTATGTCCAACTAATAAAATGCACAAATTTTTTATTTGCCTTTAGCTGATTGGCACACAATTAAATATCAAGGTTGATTTAGCTGGCTAGTGTCATTTTATTGGCAGTCGTATGAAGTTGTTCATGGTTCCTGTGTAAGTCTTGGCTCATTAGTTGAGATTTTGGCCTTGATTTTGTAGTATTTGCTTCTACCTGTTTGATTTTTATCTGTCCCAAGTAACTTTTCCTGATAACGAAACCTGAGTGTCTTCAATTGTGATATCTTATTGTATCCCTTCCTTTCGACCAATTTGTAGTTGGAATTGGTTGATAATTTGCTATTGTCTTATGGGCTTTCTTTCCATCATAAGCCTTACGTGCCTTTGAATGTTGTCCATTTAGCAAGCCTTCCTACTCCCACTCGTAATGCCTATACGTCCCAAATGACCAGTGAGAAAAGAAATGCAACTCAACCTCCACTCTATCACCAACGCCAATCTCTTATGCTCTGTGCTGTTCATGCAATCAACAATGTTCTTCAAAGAGATGCCGTTACTAAGGCCGATTTGAATAGGATTTGTGAGGAACTCGCCCCTAACTGTTCACCTCTGATGAACCCCCACCGCAACATCCTGGGTCTGGGAAATTTTGACGCCAACGCCCTGATAGTCGCTCTCCAACAGACTGGTCACGATATTGTTTGGTTTGACAAACGCACCAGCCTCGCGGAACACCGTCTGGACTGGAACAAAATTGTCGGGTGTATTCTGAACACACGTCGGAAGAGCCTCGCTTCCGTGGGTGGACGGCATTGGGTGGCCTTCCGTGGATTTCCGACCTCAGACCCCGATGTGGTAAACTACTATGACTTTGACTCCAAATTGCGACAACCAGCGCTGGTCGCGAAGTCTCACGCCCAATTTTCCGAATACATCGAGCGACGCCTAAAGGAGTTGCCTGACTCTCAGCTCCTTTTCGTGGTGCCTAAGGAAGTGCTCGCTGATCGGACCTGGCGCTTGCCTCCCTCGCCTAAACCCACGGTCGAGGAGGAGCTGGTTGTAGAGCAGCGTCGCTCTCATCCGGTTGCCAAGACCAGCTGAACGCAGCAACTATTCTACTGTATCGTTTGCACACATATACGCACCGTCTTCTTCTTTCCCCTCCTTGTCTCTCATTTTTTTGCATTTTTTTCTCTTTAGAAATGATCGTTTTTTCTGTTAACTATACATATTTGGTCAGAATATCGTTAACTCTCGTAACTTCAACACCCGAAGACGCAATAAGGCATACTGGTACTGGAGATTGCTTCTTGTTGGTGTTCAGAAAAGTGGATGGCTACAGGGATGGACAGGTTGCTAGAACATCGGGACGGGTTTGAACAGCAGAGTTTGGAGAGTCCGTGTTGTCAGACTTATCAATAAAACATTCACTCCTTTTTCCTACAACTTGATACATGGATGTAGACAACCTGCTCGTCGTAGCCATTGTATTCTTCTCTTTAAATTGGCACAGCACAAACCTGACATCCTTGGAACCGTTGTTAATTGTACGTCTAGTGAACAGTCATTTAGGTGACCATCTAAATATCCTCTCAATTGCGTCTGGTTTCGAAAACTTGGACATTTAGAAGCCTCTCTGCTACTACTTCCACACCCGGACTAGAACGAAGTTACAGCACTTATGTTGGTTTGTTTTACCATCCCACTTTATTTCAAGCTCAAGGTGACCAATCATATGGTGAGCACAAGTCTTACTAAGTAGAGACATTAATTTGAATGATTGCCGTCTCATGAGGCTACAGCGTCCTACTATCTTGATGCAGCCTCACACAAGCTCTGTGTGTGCCAGGAATTCTACGGGCTACGGTGCGGCAAACAAATTGTCACCACTTCGTGACTTGGAGATGATATACAAACATCTTGAATTAACATAACGGAAGGATTTAAGTCATGTAGACGCATAACGTGCTGGAGAGCTAAGTTTGTGAGATTTGAGCCTGCACAATCAAGGAAGGCATTATTAGTCTGAAAATAGCAATCCTTCATCGGTTAAGTTGCGAGTAAAAAGACGACGAGATTTTGAAGATCGACAAGACAAAAAAACTTGCCATCTGCAGAATGCGCAAACACGGGATAGAAATGAGTTTTGAGCTTCTGGGTCCCGTGGGAGTTCCCGGATCAGCACCACCTTTCTTTAAAGCGAAGACCTTTTATCGACAGTTCATCTTTTCCCGCAGGAACATGGCAGAACTGTTCAGAGCTTCGTACTCCATGGCGAATCATGAGGATGAGGTCCAATGCAATCATATTCACATGAGAGTATATGAAGAGGCCAATTTTACACACTCACATGACCTGTGAAGTGCCAGTGCTCTCAGCTAACAGGAAAGATGTGACTTTTGACGCTTGCTCACATTACTCTTAATTAAGTCACCCGTAACTTTTTATTTTACTTTAATAAACTATAGTTAATTTCCCCACTTGTGTTGTCCTGGTCCAATCATCTCACCACTGGCGAATGGGAACAGTTAAGGTCAATCCTGTGATGCAGGTGGAGGGTCTAACTTATCTTACTATTAAAGGAATGAAAATAAAGCCAAATGCCACTATTATTTTATTAATAATTTGCGTGGTGAACACTTTGTTTTTCACTGAGGATGACTTGGGCAATATGTTCATATGCCTGAGAGGATGGGGATTAGCGCCAAAATCAGTCACACTGGAGGGGAGCATCAAGACTGATAAGATACGTCATTTGAAAGAGTTGAATGCTTTCGCCTAGTTAGAAAAAAACGCGCCATTATTGTGATGCTAAATTCAGTAACAATTTGCCTCCTCATTTGAGCACGTAGTTGAGTTATGCCTATTGGATGCGCCACTACTGGATGCACAAGGAGTCCACAGAGCTCGGGAGAAAGAGAAGTACGTTCTAGTTGAGCATTTTTGGATTCAATTCACAGAACTTGCATTTGAAAAGTTGGAACTCCGAAAGTGTGAAGCAAGCTTAAGCGTGGTAGAAAGTAAAAGGCTCAACTTGATCACGTTTAGGAGATGGCGTTAAAAACTTTGACTTTGGCGCACCACAATTTGCATCAACAACCAGGAAGTACCCGCGAAAACTGCAATGTCTTATATGGTGGGAGAACCGGGGTTTTAAAAAAGGATAAAACCTACAAGGCATCTAATTCAATGAAGGACCTTATGTACTTGGTTAACATGTCCCACTTACTTAATTCTTCTACTTGGTTTTGGCTCCTTTCGGGTTGTTTAAATAATCATATACCGTAATAATATTCTAACAAACAACCCAAAGTGACAATAGTTTGTTGGTTAGAATAGTCACCAATTTCACGATTTAAACGTTTGGCACGCTAAGACTGAGAGAAAACCAACGAGAGATACTTTCGAAAACCCATATGGGTTCTCTCGGCCTTGTGTAAAAAATAGTCCATAGTAAAGCGTAATCTTACCTACTACTTCTAAGAAAATATCCCTGTAATATTCCAATAGTTAATTTAAATCTCTATTTGGTTAGGCGGGCACTTAAGCCCCCACCATGATACTCTCGGTGATCAACGTGGCCTCCGGACCATATCAATAGCCCTCCGGCCCTACTGTACGTCGGCAATGCAATTTCGGTCCCACTACTCTGACTATGGCAGCAGAAAGTAAACCCAATTTCAAAGGACAGCTATCCTGAGTTCCATTTCTGAATGCTGAATCTCAGCGTAGCGGAAGAAGGACATATGCTGTGACTGGGGAGATTTGTAACAATCCTTAACAGAAGGGTGGGAATTGGGTCTACCCAACTCCCGTGTTCTTCAGGAATGTTATTAACAGCTAAGGCGACACCAGCCTCGATACAACTAGAAAAGTTTGTTATGGAGCTGTCTACGGCCAGTGTTGATATGACTAGCGGTCGACTTACGCAATGACCTACACATTCTGCTCTTCCCTCAGTACAGTTACTAGACAGTG